GGATCAGTGATAAAGCAAGAAACCAAATATATATGCGGAAGTGATAAACTGTTCGTCACAACTAAACAACTGTGAATAAACAAATATAAAGTCTACAGAAAATTAAATTCCCCCAATTACTAAGTAACTCGTCTATAAATATATGACTGAGTGGCATTTAGTTATATTTGTGCTTCTAAGTGTTCAGTTGTACTTTTTCAAGGTGGCTAGATAAGACAATTAGGTCTAACTATCACATGATACTTTAAGTTCTTATATAACAAATAGAAACTGTATAACAAATAAAACCATGAATAAACCAAACTATAGGGCATGAACTTTCAAAAAGGATCTTTTTAATAATTTCACATTGTAATGAATATTTTGTGACTACTACTGTAGTGAACGAAAACTATTTAATGTAAAATCACACAGCGTCTTTGTAAAATATGAAAATCATACATTAAATACGTCATTCGCACAGCTTCTTTGCATTGTCCTTTACATACTCCACTATTCCTTTAATTCTGTTGTTATTTCGATTGCTCGTCGATTTCCTCCTGTTCTCGTTATTTCAATATGCTGCTGCCAGGCATTCCATTTCCTATTGCGGCTACATACTACTTATATCTGTCAGCACAAATAGCACACACTACACTGCTACTATAGTCATCACCAAGCAGGAAAATAAACTTTAACATAAAAATCTCTACCTAAAAATGTACACATACTTGTGCTTCTGTTTTGTCACTTGAAATAACATTCGCAAGAATATCTGCATCAGACAAAAGGATTTCCTTAAGAATTTCGTTGGCTCTATCTCGAGACTGCATAAAAATTAAACATGGATAAGCTAGTCCATTAGCCAGTAGATAACGCATCTCTAACAGTTTTCCCTGTTCTGTAGCACAATAACGTAACTCTTGTTTGACAGTAGAAACAGCAGCATTTCTATACAAGTGGTTAGAAAAAAAAGTACATAAAATTTGTAAACTTAGAAACGACGAAAGTAAGGTTAAAAAGAAGTAAGCTTAAGTGATGACAACAGCCAATCCTGTTTGAGAGCGCAGTTATTTTCTCTCAAGTTATATTTTTGGAAAAATAAGAGCATTCAACTACTTAATAAGTGTCCGTTAACTATTGAACCCAGGAATACAATATATTTAACTTATTACTGTAATACATTTTGTCATACTACAACTAGAACTAATAAACTGCTGCATGAGAACCAACAGTCATTCAGCCAATAGTTTACGCTTATGTTTCCTTTAATTGTATTTCAAAATATGAAATGATGTTTAAAATTCAAAGATTCGATGAATCAAAAGATAGGTCGAACTTCTATCGTTGGCTTGATTATTTTCAAGAAAGCATATTCATTAGACCATTATTTTTGCAATAATAAAAAATTAATTGAGATTACTTTGCAACTGTCTTCCACACTTTACTGCTTATTTGTTAATTAACAAGTAAACTTTAGTCACATCACAGTGGCTGAATGCTATGACAACTTTCATAGCAAATTTAAATTTTCGTGACACTCCCCTTCTACAACTATTTATGGAATTAAAAAAATCTGAATAAGTTTGCAATAAGTAGATGCTTTGCTTCTGAACAACTATGTGCATGCATAAAAATTTCCAACCATTAGGCGAAAAGTTATCTGGCGAACAAATTAGTAGACAATAACGTACTAAGAAGAGTCTGACGTCAGTAGAACCTTAAGAATACCGAACTTTAGTACATAGTTCAGTCAGTCAGTTAGCTACAACGTAGGACCAGGCACATATGTGCATCGGTCCAAGTTGACATACCTAACTAGCACAACAAGATGAACACTGGATTCATAGAAGTAGTTAATTCAATGGTGGTAATATATAAAAAAAGATTGCATATAAGGGTATAGTACATGAAGAAAGAATTAGTTCGTATAAAGTACATAGTTACCTAACTAGAAATTCACATTTACCCTAAGAGTAAAAATACACAAATACATGTTTTGACTACAGAACTGAGGATATTAAACAGCGCAACACTACTACCCAAACATAAAGTAGGATAAACAAGTTTTTCAGGACTGTTACTGATAATCCCTTACTTACCGGATACCTACTCGTAACTGAATTAACTCATATTCCGGACCGTCCAATTTTAAGAGGACAGGTAGCTGATTTCGTGCCCATGAAACAACTTCATCAGGAACAGTAGCCGAAAATAAAGCGACTGTGGGTCTCTTAGTTGATTGTCCAGTGAGGTTTACTTTCTGAATAGATTCAAAAATAGGCGCAACTTGATTATGAAATCCTCGAGGTCGGTATTTTGCCTTGTTACCATGTTCAGTGTTAGAAAAAGATATATCGTTAAAATTGACTTCCAGCATTTTATCGCATTCATCTACTACAAGCCAAGACAATCTAAATTGTGTAAAATAACAAATAATATATTTTAAGTGCAGTTGCGAGATATGAATAAAGTGGCTGATTTACAAAAAGCATTGGTTGGTATTCTGGGACCATTGATAATTCCAATAACTTTTAGGTTTACTTTCAAGACTTGTTTGTATATACATACTACTTTGTTAAAATAAAGGTATTAAAGTGTTTGCAGAAAAACTATTCCTCGGATCATCTATACACAAATTGACATCATCATACGTAAGAATAGACAAACATGCCTATTTTGCTTATTTCGAAATTTTTTTAGTAAAAAATAGATCGTCAGCAGAGACCAGTGATGACCACTAGAGCTTTAAACCGACAGACTAGAAAGAAGGATATCTCGTCAAGATAACAAAAGAAGGAGATCTAAGCAAATTTGAGGACTAAAGAGGAATCACACTACTCTCAGTACCAGGAAACGTTTACAACAGTGTTGCGAAACTGGACGAGAGGTTCAGTAGATGCCCAGCTTCAAGATCAACAGTCCGGGATCCTTAAGGGTCCTTCGTACGCAGACCAAATCGTAACACTACGGATCATTGTTGAACGATCAATTAAGTGAAATTCGTCATTATACACCAACTTCCTTGACTATGAGGCGTTTTAGTGTGGATACGCGAACGTTATTTAACATCCTTCAACAGTATGGTACGCCTGAACAGATCGTCAACATCATCCGGAATTCGTACTACGGACGACACTGCAAAATCATGCATGGAGGCAAGCTAATGAATGCATTCCAAGTAAAGACCAGTGTCAGACAAGGTCGATTAATCTCGCCCTTTTTTTCTTATGGTGATCGATTGGACTATGAAAACCTCCACATCTCAAGGGGAGCACGGAATAAAATGGACAGTTTGTATGCAGCTAGACGATTTGGATTTTTCAGATGACCTAGCTCTTCTATCCCATATACACCAACAGATGCAGGTGAAGACAACTGGTGTAGCAGCAGCCTCTGCAGCAGTAAGCCTCAACATGCATAAGGGATAAACCAAGACCTCCAAATACAACACAGAGAACACCAATCGAATCACACTTGATCGAGAAGCTCTGGAAGATGTGGGAATTTCCACGTACGTGATCAGCATCATCGACGAAAAAAGAGGATCTAATCCAGACGTAAGGTCAACACTCCTACAGTTGAAGAACATATGGAACTCAAAACAAATGTCAGCCAACACTAAGGTCAGGATCTCACATACGAACTCCGAGACAGTTCTAGTGTACGGAGCCGAAGCTTCGAGAACTACCACAACCGTCATTAAAAAAGTACAAGTATATTTAAACAATTACCTACGCAAGATACTCAATGTCCGTTGGTTGCATACTATCAGCAACAGCCTACTGTGGGAGAGAACAAACCAACTTCCAGTTGAGGAGGGGATTAGAAGAACTCGATGGAGGTAGATGGGACATTTATTGTGGATATCATCCAACTGCATCACGAGGCAAACCCTAACTTGGAATCCTGACAGCAAATGGTAAGGAAGAAAACTAAGGAACACATCGCGTCGGGAATCGGAGGCGGACGTCAAAAGAATGAATGGCAACTGGAAAGGATTTCCTAGTACAGAGTTTGTCAAAGTGTTGGTGGGTGGCCTCTGCTTCTCTATCAGGCGTAGATTAGGTCATTAAACCAATTTATTGCATAAAACTTTCCACGCTACTGGTAATTTTCTCCTTGATCACACACTGTTTTCGATAAAGCAAATGAAAACCCAATATATTCGAACAGAATTAAGCTGGTTAGCATAAAATTCTAGAAACAAGACATATAGGAATCTACTTTAATGTAGGCTATGGTTAGTCTACTGAGTATAAAATTCGGTGAATGGAGAAACAGGTAAGGAAATTTGTTTCACGTAAAATAGTTTATGAAAGCTAACGACAGCAAACAAACCTGGATAAATCAATGGGACAGTGTTCTGATGGAAGAGACAATAGAGTACTTAATCGACTAGGGGTAGAAATGAGGATTTTAGTGCTTGAGTGTAATTTTAATTCACGAACTTTTCTTGATTTCGTTGTTAAAACATCATTTTCAGAAACGTTCTTTGCCTTCTTTCTGCAACGAACAAGATAATGCTTTTTGTGCAACGCAGCTATATAACAGTCTGCTTGGATTCCAGAAAATAGCCTAATAGCCTCGGAACGAATTTGATGCATTAGTTCCTGAGTTGGAGCCAAGATCACAGCAAATGGGAATATCTTATGTTTCGATGATGTCTTCTCAGTTATATTGTCAATGGGCTCGGAATTTCCAGAGGAATTTGTACGTAGCAACTGAGTGAGCACTGGGAGAAGATAAGCTGCTGTTTTCCCGGAACCCGTTGGTGCACATGCAAGTAGGTTACGGTGCTACAAAAACACAATAGGGAACACAGTGAAGGTTTATCACAATGATCTTGAAAACCGGTCAATTTATAATAGAGGAAAGGATTAAAAGAGCCAAATGTCTGGTGACTTTGAAACTATAGACTCTTGAGGTGAAAATATTATCTAACTGATTGCGATAGTACACCACTAGATCGTCATCTTACTGTTTTACTCACACTAAAGATGGTAGACAATAACGATTCTGCCTACATGAAATTTGATTGAGAAAAAATTACCAGGGAAATACTAACTACCAGGATGATATGCTCTCATATGTGTTTTTTTACGCCAGCTTTGCCTACAACACTTTTCAATAATGATGTCCCAACCTGAGGTTTGGTAGCAGAATTTATGATGAATTAATAATTAGGTTATAAATTACTATATCTGATTTATATGTTACATCTTTAAAAATCATGGGAAAATAATCTACCAACGCACTCAGAAATGCTGACTTAACATACTAACGATTTAAAAACGATTCTAAAACAAGAACTTACACGAGTTAATGATCTGAATGGTTGATACATAAGTAAATGTTATTGGTTTGTCAAGTTTACGTAAACAATACTTTGTTAAACTTAACGGCCGTAATTCGTATTTCCGTTGCTTGAAAATGCTAAGTCAATTTAATCTGGTCAGCCATATACTAGTTAATGTCATCCATACATATTCTTTATCGAGCCACCTTTTTGATAGCGGTAAAAAGCATTGGCAGCTTACGTGAGAAAGCGATAAGATTTTACCGAAAGTACTGAGTTGTAGCGACTTTTATTTTAAATTACAATACACAGAAAAAGTGGGAACCAGTTCTTCACTCATATGCGAACTGGGATCCAGCAGTGCGATGTAATGTTACACTAGGTCGCATTATCCACTAAAGGTACCGATAAAGTTTTAGTACGAATTTTCTAACAAAAACATGAAATACTCGAGTGTAATGCATGTAAATATGATGGTTTATAGCTATGGCAAGAATGAAGCTGAAAACGGGTGAAAAGATTAAGTAACATCAACAGACCAACCTGCATCATAATCGGAATGCTTTGGGATTGTATGGGTGTTGGGGTTTTATATCCTAGCCCGGACAAGTTATGTAAAATCAGGTCACTAATTTGACAGGATTTGCTCCCAAATGAATAGATGGGCCGAGGTATTTTGCTCTGCTTGTTTATTGCTGAAACTTTGATGTCATGAGATAACCTATACTGTTTAGCATTTGACGATTTGAATTTTCTCTTCTTATTTACAACCGAAGCATCCACCTTTTAAAAATATTAAGTTTTATACGAAGATTTACATCAAATCCCAACCCAACTAAGTGGTCATCAGCTGGAATATCCATATTTTAACTTAACGGACAAGATACAAACTCTTCAGCTTCAGTATTCCATATTTCCTTCACAACGCTAGTTGCTTGACGGTAGCGTTTCGTTCCATATGAGTGTCTTTTACCATTATTCGATATACAATCTTCATACTTTAAACAATCGTAAAACAAAATATTAAACTTGAATTATTCCATGGACGAATTTATTTGATATTGGGAAAATTCGCGAAAATTTTCACGACCTTTACTATAATGAGACAAATTATTGAGCAATAATCTCTGGATAGCTTCCAATATCTCCAATTTGTTTACTTAACGGATAACTTATGTTGTTTTAATATTTTGGTGGATAACTGATTTGAAAATGCTTGAACTAACCTTTTCAACATTATCAGGGGATTTCTCACTGTCTCTTTATGCGTGAAATACATCCGATAGATTTTTACAGACATTAAGTTATCCCTTAATATGGGACCAAACTGTTGCGTCCTAATACCATATAGATTTACGTATAAATTTGGTATACTTCCTTTATAGAAGTGGTTGTTAAAGTGGAAAGAAAATAACCTGTGAGGAAATGAAATAACAGACAACATCTATATTAAAAGTAGCGAATGTAACTGGTCTTTTTGGACCGTTCATCTGCTGCTCTGGCCTGAGATAACCACTTTAATAATATGTGTGGTTATTTGTCCTAACCGTATATTATTTCCTAAGGAAACTGGGACTACATCATTTTGACAGAATATTCTCGATAAGGCTGTCTGATGTCGTGAAAATTCGAGATTATATTGTAACATTTATATCATGACGTTATTTCTTTAGAAGGCAACCAAGCCCTGTACAGTGTTATCTCGCGTTAATGTTTCCGTTAGCTAACAAGCACCTGATCTTTAAAGCTTTTTTGTCATTCATATAACCTATGGAAATCACACTCAAGCAACTGTGGTCGATGTTTGTCCTCCACTCACTTGAGAGTTAACAGTACTCGGCAAGCCGAAATACAGATGATTGATGTGTTAATATATTAAAACATTTCAGATCTCTTTCGTAATTTGCATTTTCCCTGAACGTTAGCTCAATAGTATTCTGCCTTCAGATCACAATATGTGACAAATGTGAGCTGGCAAACATGGCATTGGCACTTGTAGTCGCTCAGCATTCGTGACTTTGACGTTTTGGAGCCCATTTCCATTAACGGAATGTCTTTTGAATGCTTTCGGACTCCGGGACTAAACTATAGCAGTCCAAGGTATCGTATGTTAGGAAAAGTTGGTTTGCTTCATTAGCCTGTTGCTGTAAAAGCAAATTGTGAATTTTAAAATTGTGGTCCCTTGTATCTGGAGAATAATTAATAGTATTCGTTGCAGTATCAGTATATGACCTGTAAATCTTTCGAGTCTGTTGGTACTCTTCGTTCTGTTGAGAGGAGAAACCGGACTACTAGTGAATAAGTCTTTATTTAAGTAGTGGTACAGAACACAATGGAGCGTGAGGTCACCCTTTCAAAAACACGGAGCTCTTCAACATGCAGTTTAAAATAATATGAAGTGTGATCCCTATACAAAATAAGTAGGTGAACGAATACTCGGGTTTTAATGTTGTGATATTTACTTAGAAGTTTTTGGTCAACTCTTAACCAGTTAACAAAATTTGATAAAAATTTCTGGATCTATCAATCATTTAATAATTACGAAAGTATGAGCGTTCAAAGACGGTATGAGATCGAGGTCTTACGTGAGGGTAGTGCATTATGTAGTGACCCATTTCCGATAGATCGTAACTACTATTAACTTTTAAAACAAATCGCAGACATATATGTATACATCATGGACTGGTTCAAACTATTGTGTGACAATATGTGACTCAAGCATGTTTGATTGTAAGGCTGGTGACTATATTGTATATATATGCGTAATTCAACTCGACAATTCACTTACATGAGTTTTAGTATACGCTCATTTATCTCTACCAGAGAAGCTGAGATGTTGACACCCTTGATCCTTTTTGATCATTCTGATATTCCATTATCTAGTCCAGGAGCCTCCATATTATGGTTCATTCATGGTTGTATTGTGTCTGAGATTTACAGTTCGTGGTTGGATTTCAAAGTCAGCAAAAATATCGAACGAAAGTATGGCAGACATTTGATCATGTTACCGTTAGTTAGACAGTTGGGAATAATATTGTGCTAGTATTGCTGTATCAGTGAATGAGTTTGCTGTAATTGTTGAATAGACATATTCCCGTGCCACTGTTTGTCCCTTATTTCTGTTTTAGCTCCTGGGAATATTTATTTACACTATGAACGTCGAAATTCCAACCGCCTCAACCGCTGTCTGTCTATTGTATTATATGTGACCTAGGATGGGAATTTATGTTGTAGTGACTCACGTTTATTACGAGAACACGACTGGTTTAATAAAAACAATTATTATTGTAACCAAGTGTACCAGTGACTGTTTTAACGTGCTTTTGTTTGACTGTGCTAATGACAGCTATTTTGTGCTTCCATTCTTTTACACACACTTTGATTGTAACTTCGCGCGAATTCGGTTACCTTCTGTAACCAAGGTTGTATCCTGGCACGATCTCGGTATCCTTTCGATGCCACGAGATCGCCAGCTAATAAACCTCGACTTGGTCCATTAATTGCCTTCTGATATTTGGCTTCTCGGGGATTTTATGGAGTCATTTTAACGAGCTTCTTACGCCTTCTGATCTAATTGGCACGTGTTTCTTGGTAGCGGTGTTCATAGTTAATCTCAACTCGACGCCACGCTACAATTGGTAATCCCAATACGAATACAATTGGTAATCCCAATTCGACTACATTTGGTGACCCGTATTTTGGAACACGCCTCAGCTTCTGACCAAATCTTCGAAAGAAGCCAATTCGGTGAGTCTATGATTTATCTATCCACGTCTGTCGTATATTTTCATATTTTTTAATATATAATATACGCGACATGACGGATAACGATAATAATAGTATTAATATAATAGACTCACACGTATGTGTACCGAATCCTTGTCACTTTATTCGCGTGATGATGAATTCCACGCTCTATTCGAGAAATGTTACCCTATTAACGATTCTCCTCGCTGACCCGGCTGCTTGGTACGGAATGCATACGCATAAGCATATCCGTCTACCACCCAGCACCAAATGGTTAAGTTGAACGGTTTCACTGCCAACTTAAAAGTGTTCTACGAGCACACGAAAACGGCAACTGGCACGAAACCTTACCGCTCGTTCTTTTAGGGGGGGAGAACGAGCTTAAAGGCAGATATCCAATGTTCCGCCACTGAACTTGTATACGGCACGACATTGCGTCTGCCCGGAGAATCCTTCACACCACGGAGCAGACCTAATTTCGGTAAATCAGACAACGTCCGTCGACTGTCTGCATTTATGTGAACGCTGTCTCCGGTGTCAACTCGAATACAACATCGTCAGGTCGCTCTCCCTCGAGAGTTATCTACCTGTTCACATGTTTTTGTACGAGTAGATTCGGTACGCAAACCTTGGCAACAACCTTACGAAGGCCCTTTTCACGTGATCGCTCGTCACGAAAAGACCTTCAAGGTTGATCGACATGGACGCGTCGAGATCGTCAGCGTTGATCGTCTCAAACCAGCACACGTCGATGACAGTGCCCTATCTGGTAACCTGAGATTCAATGCTAGACCTATCAAACCTAGCGGGATCTTAAATCTTCTTCAGGTCCCACGCTACATACATCTGAGACCTCATTCTCACGTCCTGGTCAACAGCACGCGTCATCTGCACCGTCTACGGACGAGACGACAGTCTCACGTCCAGATCAGCAGACCACGCCGCCCTTGACTTCGGATGAGATTGCAGGCTCACGCGACGCGAACGAGACTATCGTCTCACGTTCCGGTCGCCGAGTACGGTTACCCGTACGCTTCCTCGACTAGTCGCACAGTCGACAACCGACACGGTGTAGGAATATTCCTATGCTACTTGGATGCTACACTCCTCTTTTTTGATTTTCTTTTTGTTTCCTGAGCCCACGCCTTCGACTATCTCCGCTTGGTTCCGTCGACTTCAGTCAACTTTGGCGAAAGCTGGCCTGATCACCCATGCTCTTGTCAACGCACTCAGTCGATATATTGGTTTCGAACGCTTGGTCTCGAACTTGGTCGTTACGGTCGCTTCTGGTCTTTTGGCTCAACGTGGTTTCGTCCTTCGTCTGCAGCGTTCCTGGTCCGCATTCCCTACGAACGCCCTCTTCAGATTCTGGATACAAACCACTCTCGTGTAGCATGCCAACTCGAGCAATCAATACAACACATCGCTCCTGGTACTGTTCTCCGAAAACGACCTTCGTTGGCAACTCGACGATCAACGATCGCTTTCCTGTTCGCCAATCTTTCCGTCCTACAATCGCTCGTCAGCCGATCAGTCCCACGATTCAAACCGCTATTTATCGAAAGTGTAAACCCTTTCTAGCGGGGGGCTCCTGTAGTGACTCACGTTTATCACGAGAACACGACTGGTTTAATAAAAACAATTATTATTGTAACCAAGTGTACCAGTGACTGTTTTAACGTGCTTTTGTTTGACTGTGCTAATGACGGCTATTTTGTGCTTCCATTCTTTTACACACACTTTGATTGTAACTTCGCGCGAATTCGGTTACCTTCTGTAACCAAGGTTGTATCCTGGCACGATCTCGGTATCCTTTCGATGCCACGAGATCGCCAGCTAATAAACCTCGACTTGGTCCATTAATTGCCTTCTGATATTTGGCTTCTCGGGGATTTTATGGAGTCATTTTAACGAGCTTCTTACGCCTTCTGATCTAATTGGCACGTGTTTCTTGGTAGCGGTGTTCATAGTTAATCTCAACTCGACGCCACGCTACAATTGGTAATCCCAATACGAATACAATTGGTAATCCCAATTCGACTACAATGTAATGAAACTGGTTATCATCCATTGATTCTGGCCTCTCGTTTGCTTACATACTAATACCTGTAACAAGTCATTATTATTAATCATCAACAACATATGGGTACATAAGTGTCGGGAAGAAACCATTTCGGGTTTCTTCAAAAATGAAATAATGCACAAGTTTCAATAGTGTAAGCATTATATTTGCC